GCAGTCGATGATGAGTAGCTTTCTTTCTTCACCAGCGCAGTGAGGAAACTACTAACCAGCCGCAGCAGCAGCAGCATCAGGTGGACCTGGAGCAGGACCTCAAACAACAGGCTTGGGCCTACTTGGACAGCACCCTGCCAACCGAGGTAGACAATCCCCTTGCTACTGGGCAACGAAACTTGACCTTTGGCCCCAACTAGCTGAATTTGCCCTTGAAAGGCTGTCATGCCCGGCCAGTAGCGTGGCATCGGAGCGCGTGTTTAGTGCGGCAGGAGGTATTGTAACTCCGCGGAGGACACGACTGTCCACCCAAAGTGTGGAGAGACTCACGTTTGTGAAAATGAATCAGGCGTGGATTAGTCTGGATTTCAAACCACCAGTTCCTGACACAACTGACTAAATCCGCCATGAATCATGCCTCAAACATGTGCCACTTTGAGGTCTCCTCACACACTGCTGGTGTGTTGAATTTTTTGACATAGGGTGCTGGCAGATTATGGGCCTCCTATAGCTGCTGCTGGCCCCTAATCTGCCATGGGCCCCTATATACCGCCTCCTCATGCTGCTGCCAAGTCCAGAGTCTCTCATGGGTCCCTGTACGGCCTCCCATTGCTGCTGTCTCCATCGCCACACTCTGCCATGTGCCACTTTCAGGTCTCCTCACACACTGCTGGTGTGTTGAATTTTTTGACATAGGGTGCTGGCAGATTACGGGCCTCCTATAGCTGCTGCCAGCCCCTAATCTGCCATGGGCCCCTATATACCGCCTCCTCATGCTGCTGCCAGGTCCAGAGTCTCTCATGGGTCCCTGTACGGCCTCCCATTGCTGCTGTCTCCATCGCCACACTCTGCCATGTGCCACTTTCAGGTCTCCTCACACTGCTGGTGTGTTCAATTTTTTGACATAGGGTGCTGGCAGATTACGGGCCTCCCATAGCTGCTGCCAGGCCCCTAATCTGCCATGGGCCCCTGTACCGCCTCCTCAAGCTGCTGCCAGGTCCAGAGTCTCTCATGGGTCCCTGTACGGCCTCCCATTGCTGCTGTCTCCATCGCCATCGCCACACTTTGCCATGTGCCACTTTCAGGTCTCCTCACACTGCTGGTGTGTTCAATTTTTTGTCATAGGGTGCTGGCAGATTACGGGCCTCCCATAGCTGCTGCCAGGCCCCTAATCTGCCATGGGCCCCTATACCGCCTCCTCATGCTGCTGCCAGGTCCACAGTCTCTCATGGGTCCCTGTACGGCCTCCCATTGCTGCTGTCTCCATCGCCACACTCTGCCATGTGCCACTTTCAGGTCTCCTCACACTGCTGGTGTGTTACATTTTTTGTCATAGGGTGCTGGCAGATTACGGGCCTCCCATAGCTGCTGCCAGGCCCCCTAATCTGCCATGGGCCCCTATACCGCCTCCTCATGCTGCTGCCAGGTCCCACGGCCTCCCAGTCTCTCATGCCATGCCATGTGCCACTTTCAGGTCTCCCTCACACTGCTGGTGTGTTCAATTTTTTGACATAGGGTGCTGGCAGATTACGGGCCTCCCATAGCTGCTGCCAGGCCCCTAATCTGCCATGGGCCCCTATACCGCCTCCTCATGCTGCTGCCAGGTCCAGAGTGCTGCCAGGTCCAGCCTCCCATTGCTGCTGTCTCTCATGCCATGTGCCACTTTCAGGTCTCCTCACACTGCTGGTGTGTTCAATTTTTTGTCATAGGGTGCTGGCAGATTACGGGCCTCCCATAGCTGCTGCCAGGCCCCTAATCTGCCATGGGCCCCTATACCGCCTCCTCATGCTGCTGCCAGGTCCAGAGTCTCTCATGGGTCCATGTACGGCCTCCCTTTGCTGCTGTCTCCATCGCCACACTCTGCCATGTGCCACTTTCAGGTCTCCTCACACTGCTGGTGTGTTGACATTTTTTGTCATAGGGTGCTGGCAGATTACGGGCCTCCCATAGCTGCTGCCAGGCCCCTAATCTGCCATGGGCCCCTATACCGCCTCCTCATGCTGCTGCCAGGTCCAGAGTCTCTCATGGGTCCCTGTACGGCCCCCATTGCTGCTGTCTCCATCGCCACACTCTGCCATGTGCCACTTTCAGGTCTCCTCACACACTGCTGGTGTGTTCAATTTTTTGACATAGGGTGCTGGCAGATTACGGGCCTCCCATAGCTGCTGCCAGGCCCCTAATCTGCCATGGGCCCCTATACCGCCTCCTCATGCTGCTGCCAGGTCCAGAGTCTCTCATGCTGTCTCCATCGCCACACTCTGCCATGTGCCACTTTCAGGTCTCCTCACACTGCTGGTGTGTTCAATTTTTTTGACATAGGGTGCTGGCAGATTACGGGCCTCCCATAGCTGCTGCCAGGCCCCTAATCTGCCATGGGCCCCTATACCGCCTCCTCCTCCTCATGCTGCTGCCAGGTCCAGAGTCTCTCATGCCATGTGTGCCACTTTCAGGTCTCCTCACACTGCTGGTGTGTTCAATTTTTTGTCATAGGGTGCTGGCAGATTACGGGCCTCCCATAGCTGCTGCCAGGCCCCTAATCTGCCATGGGCCCCTATACCGCCTCCTCATGCTGCTGCCAGGTCCACAGTCTCTCATGGGTCCCTGTACGGCCTCCCATTGCTGCTGTCTCCATCGCCACACTCTGCCATGTGCCACTTTCAGGTCTCCTCACACTGCTGGTGTGTTCCATTTTTTGTCATAGGGTGCTGGCAGATTACGGGCCTCCATAGCTGCTGCCAGGCCCCCTAATCTGCCATGGGCCCCTATACCGCCCTCCTCATGCTGCTGCCAAGTCCAGAGTGTGTCATGGGTCCTGTACGGCCTCCCATTGCTGCTGTCTCCATCGCCACACTCTGCCATGTGCCACTTTCAGGTCTCCTCACACACTGCTGGTGTGTTCAATTTTTTTGTCATAGGGTGCTGGCAGATTACGGGCCTCCCATAGCTGCTGCCAGGCCCCTAATCTGCCATGGGCCCCTATACCGCCTCCTCATGCTGCTGCCAGGTCCACAGTCTCTCATGCCATGTGCCACTTTCAGGTCTCCTCACACTGCTGGTGTGTTCAATTTTTTGACATAGGGTGCTGGCAGATTACGGGCCTCCCATAGCTGCTGCCAGGCCCCTAATCTGCCATGGGCCCCTATACCGCCTCCTCATGCTGCTGCCAAGTCCAGAGTGTGTCATGGGTCCCTGTACGGCCTCCCATTGCTGCTGTCTCCATAGCCACACTCTGCCATGTGCCACTTTCAGGTCTCCTCACACTGCTGGTGTGTGTTAAATTTTTTGACATAGGGTGCTGGCAGATTACGGGCCTCCCATTGCTGCTGCCAGGCACGTAATCTGCCATGGGCCCCCATACCGACTCCTCATGCTGTGACGTTGCAACAAGGTGGAATTCAACCCTACATATGTTAGACCGCCTTTACGAACAGCGAAAGGCCATCACCGATTTCCTGATGTTAAAAGCGGATAAAGGTACTCCCTGTGTAACTTAGATGTCAGCCATTGGCAGCTCATGCGTGACACCTACGCTTGCTCAGGCCCTTTGAGGAGGCCACGCTATTCGTGAGTCGGCAGGACTATGGGATGAACGACGTCATTCCTCTGTTGCACGTCCTGGAACAAATGCTGTTAACAATGGCTGGTCAGGGTGCGGTAGACGTGGCGCACAGATCTCAACGCCACATGACCCCTGTGGGGGCAGGACAGGAAGAAGAGGAGGAGGTAGAGGGAGGACATTGGTGCTCAGGAATTATTGAGTGAAATGGGTGGTTTTTCCACTCAGCGGACAGGAGTGGAGGAGCAGGAGCATCTGGTAGAGGAGGAGGAGGAGGAGACAGAGGACCCAGACGCACCGTGGCAGTATGCTGTGGAGATGGAGGCAGGGAGTCCCTCGCATTCCTTGGCACAAATGGCCCATAGCATGCTCGCTTGCTTGCGTAGCGACAGCCGAATAATAACCATCAGACAGAGGGATGACTTTTGGCTGTCCACCTTGTTGGACTTTCGCTACCGTTCAAAAATGGTGGCCTTTTTCACACCTGCTGAGAGGGAGGCCAAAATAACGTACTATAAAAACCACCTATGTAGTCAGCTGGTCTCTGCCTTTCTGCGCCAACGTCCATCCTCAGACACTGTGGGCCCTGTGCGCCTCGCGTTCCGCTGCCATGGCAGCAGGGGAGGGGTGGGGTGGTAGGAGCAGTGGCAGCTCCACCAGCAGCGGCTGCCTCAGTCTGCTGTCGATGATGAGTAGCTTTCTTCACCAGCGCAGTGAGGAAACTACTAACCAGCCGCAGCAGCAGCAGCAGCATCAGGTGGACCTGGAGCAGGACCTCAAACAACAGGCTTGGGCCTACTTGGACAGCACCCTGGCAACCGAGGTAGACAATCCCCTGACTACTGGGCAACGAAACTTGACCTTTGGCCCCAACTAGCTGAATTTGCCCTTGAAAGGCTGTCATGCCCGGCCAGTAGCGTGGCATCGGAGCACGTGTTTAGTGCGGCAGGAGTATTGTAACTCCGCGGAGGACACGACTGTCCACCCAAAGTGTGGAGAGACTCACCTTTGTGAAAATGAATCAGGCGTGGATTAGTCTGGATTTCAAACCACCAGTTCCTGACACAACTGACTAAAATCCGCCATGAATCATGCCCCAAACATGTGCCACTTTCAGGTCTCCTCACACTGCTGGTGTGTTCCATTTTTTGTCATAGGGTGCTGGCAGATTACGGGCCTCCCATAGCTGCTGCCAGGCCCCTAATCTGCCATGGGCCCCTATACCGCCTCCTCATGCTGCTGCCAGGTCCAGAGTCTCTCATGGGTCCCTGTACGGCCTCCCATTGCTGCTGTCTCCATCGCCACACTCTGCCATGTGCCACTTTCAGGTCTCCTCACACACTGCTGGTGTGTTGAATTTTTTGACATAGGGTGCTGGCAGATTACGGGCCTCCTATAGCTGCTGCCAGGCCCCTAATCTGCCATGGGCCTCTATACCGCCTCCTCATGCTGCTGCCAGGTCCACAGTCTCTCATGGGTCCCTGTACGGCCTCCCATTGCTGCTGTCTCCATCGCCACACTCTGCCATGTGCCACTTTCAGGTCTCCTCACACACTGCTGGTGTCTTGTTCCATTTTTTGTCATAGGGTGCTGACAGATTACGGGCCTCCCATTGCTGCTGCCAGGCCTGTAATCTGCCATGGGCCCCCGTACCGCCTGGTCACGCTGCTGCTGGGTCCACAGTGTGACATGGGTCCCTGTACCGCTCCCATTGCTCCCACTCTGCCATGTGCCACTTTCAGGTCTCCTCACACTCCTGCTGGTTTCCATTTTGTCATAGGTTGCTGGCAGATTACAGGCCTCCCATAGGTGCTGCCAGGCCTGTAATCTGCCATGGGCCCCCGTACCGCCTCGTCACGCTGCTGCTGGGTCCACAGTGTGACATGGGTCCTTGTACCGCCTCCCATTGCTCCCACTCTGCCATGTGCCACTTTGAGGTCTCCTCACACTCCTGCTGGTTTCCATTTTGTCATAGGTTGCTGTATGGCCTCCCATTGCTGCTGCCTCCACCGCCACACTGTGGCTCCAAACACTGGTTTTGGCCCCGTGACTGGCCAAATGAGTGAAGTGTGCGGTGATTCTAAGATCGACGGCACTCATCTGCATGTCATACTGAGTGACAGTATTATTTCTCTTCCCCAGCAGACTCCAAGGGCATTTAAATTAAAGGTACAGTGTTCTGCACTAATATTAAGTCTCTCTGAAGCCTAGAAACACCCTTTTTTAAGTTAAATTCACAGCGAATTTATTCGACTCGAATCGAATATTGTCCACGAATTCGCCGAATCAGTCGAATCAAATTTTTCATTTCTTCGCTCATCTCTAGTTATGGGTTCAGAAGCAAGCACATTGATGAATGTAAAGCTTACCTGAAGGAAAATGCTATCTGCTTCAGATGTTGTTCATCCACGAAACACATTGCTAAAGACTGCTAGGTCAATATAAGATGCAGAGAGTGGAGTATTGACCAGCATACCTTGGCACTGCATCCGTGTCCAGGCCTTTGAGTAACAGAGACTCTGGTAACCAACAAAGAGCAGGTGGGGATGAGGATGAACTTACTCTAACAACTGTTGTATCGAAGTGTACGGAGGTATGTGCAGAAGGGACAAGGCCCAGATCATGTTCCAAGATCTGTTTAGTGACTGTATACTCCTCTAACAAACCTGGCTGTTCTGTTAAAATGAATGCAGTGTTAGATGATCAGAGTAACTGCTCATTAGCCAAGTCAGAGTTCTTTAATGTGTTTAACATTAGTAATGAAACATTTTCTTACACACTAAAAACATGCTCAGGTATTAAAGTGAAAACAAGGCATATGGCATCTAATGCACTGTTCAGTCTATTGATGGGAAAACACACATAAAACTTCCCACTCTCATTGAATGTGACATAATGCTGCATGACAGGTCAAAAATACCGACCCCTGAGATTACAGAATTTCCCTCATTTGAATTCCTTAACAGATAACACCCCTCTAACAAACTTGACTGTTCTGTTAAAATTAATGTAGTGTTAGATGATCAAAGTAACTGCTCATTAGCCAAGTCAGAGTTCTTTACTGTGTTTAACATTAGCAATTAAACATTTTCTTACACACTAACAACATGCACAGGTATTATAGAGAAAATAGGGCGTAGGGCATTTAACTTCAATGTTCAGTCTATTGATGGGAGAACACACATAAAACTTCCCACTCTCGTTGAATGTGATGTGATGCTGCATGACAGGTCAAAAATACCAACCCTTGAGATTACACAGAATCTCCCTCATTTGATTCCTTAGTAGATAAGATTTCCACAATTGATCCTAATTGTCACACACCTGGTGATGAAGCCTGATGTGGAGAGGAAGGCGATCTCTTACACCTCTGACTAGGTACCCCTGATAAAGTAACAGGAGGCATGAGAGCCTGGAGTGGCATGAGTGCCTGGCAGTTCTGGCGATGACTACTGAAAATGAGAAGTCTGTGTGTCTGGTAGACAGTCAGCAGGCCCTTTGCAGGCTGGCAGGTTATGGACAGCAGGCTGCAGGAGTAAGGATGGCCGCCACAGGCTAGACACAGAGCAAGGTCAGGAAAGCCAGGAAGGTCACTAGTGGGCACGTCAGGTAAAGGGAAGAAGAGTAGTCAGGCTCAGGCTGGAGTTGGCAACAGTAAGCAGAGAGGAAGAAGGATCAGGCAGAGACATGGTCAAAGAGCAAGCCAGGGGTCAGTTCAGTCAGAGTTCAAGAGTGGTCAGATGGATCAGAATGGCAACAAGAGATCAAGCACAGGAACAGGGAGGAGGTAGCAGAACACTGTAGACCATAAGGCCAAGTCCTAGTGCTGCAGAGGTGTTTAAATAGCACCACTAGCCAATGTAGTGGCGGGTGTGCATGGCGGCCATGAGCGCAAATCCGGCTAACAGGAATTCCCTGTCTGTGCATAAATAATGCCCAAATACTCCTCTTGCTAGAGAAATATTCTCAGGGTCTACAAGGTGTGTGAACAGATAAATAGACCTCATAAGGCTCCTTATGCACATTGTTTAGATTAAGGTTGGGTCATAGGTGGAGAAGTATGCTTAGGTGGGGCTCACACACCAGCAGACGTGAACTCATTTAGGACAAACATGTTGCCTAATTCCCGCCCCTTCTCTATTGAGCCCATGCACCAGCTATATGTGAGTGAAATCGGGTTCACACTGATGTGGTGCGGTAAATGCTACGAATCCTGTGCGTTTCCCGCACCTTATTGCAATCACATGGCATTCATGCGATCTGCTGCAGGTGTCAATGTTAAATTAATGACACCCTGAAACAGCAGAGCACAATGCGCTTGCCAGAAATCGCATAGCATGGGTGAGAACACCCATGCGATGTGTTTCAGGTGCAGGTGAAAAAAGGGTCCTGCACCTTTTTGGTGCAGATGAGATGTGATTTGAGCCATACAGAATGTATGGCTCAAATCGCACCACACAGACATTGCATGTAATCTGCACAGGAATGCGGTGTGATTCCTGTGTGAACTACATGCGATGTTCCGCACCGCATTAGTGTGAACCCAGTGTGAAAGAGACCTTAATACTTGGAAACTACAGCCATGCTCTCCCTCATTATGCCATACAAGGACCACAGCTCGCAGTGGACAGTGTAGGTGACAACATGTTCACTAGGACCCCAATGTAGTTGAAAAAGGAGATGTTTATGGGCGAAGCAAACCACTGGGTAGCACCCCTGCCATTTTGCTCACCGAGCCGTAGACTACCAAACAACAGGGAGCAAGCACAGAAAAGACTCCTTGTTCTTCAATGCTCCTTTGCAAAAAAAAAAAAACTGAAATAACAGAACATTTTGTTAACTTTGTGCAAAAGATCTTTGATCGTGACCAAGCAGAACCTGCCCCACCACTGAAATCGGGTGAATAGGGTTGGTACCTATTAATCTTTGGCATCTATTACCCTCAAAAACCAAGGCAGATCAAAGTAGTTTTTGATTCAAGCAGTATGACAGCATCTCATTGAGTGATGTACTTTTTAGCGGCCCTGATTTGAATAATACGCTGCCAGGTGTCTTTATACGCTTCTGAAAAGAGCAAGTTGCAGTTATTACTGATGTGCAGGGATGGGCTGTATGTTCGAGTTGAACATACATTTGACTCGAACATCGGCCATTTGTGTGTTCATGCGCCCTTACAGTGCATTGTGATTGGCCAAAGCAATATACCTGACCACAGGTCAGGTTCAACGCTTTGGCCAGTCACAGAGCATAATGACACCGCAAGAGGGTGGGGTGACCCAACCCCCTTGTGATCTCATCACACTATTTAAGAACTGTCATTCCAGAGCAGCTGTCAGACGATGGGAACCAGCGCTTTCTTTTTTTAGGTCGGCAGTGGCAGTGGGCATCGTAATTGACGTTGGATCTATTTCGGGGGACATTTTTGTAATTTTTGTTTTTAATAAAGAACTTGTCAAAGACTGTTTTCTGTCATTTTTCCACTATACTTTTTTTTGTGAATGCGTAGCAGTACTATGCACCCCATACTCATTCACATGGGGGGGGGTGGGATCCAGATTCCGAAGAGGCCTCTGCCCGCAAACCCCCACAACCACCAGTCACGGTTGTGGGGAAGAGGCTCTTGTCCTCATCAACATGTTGATGGCATGTGCCTGGTATGTTTCAGGAGGGGAGGCGCTCACTCGGCCCCCACCATTCCTGACTTGCCAGGCTGCATGCTTGGATAAGGGCCTGGCATGGATTTTGGAGGGGACCCCCACAACATTTTTTCTTTAAATTTTGGCATGGGCGTTCTTATCAAAATCCATACCAGACATTGCTGGGCAATGGTGGCAATTCTTTTTACATTCAGCTGTCAGCAGGGAATGGGTTTAGTAATACGGCTTAGTGAATTTTCCCCTCTGTTCGAAGTTCGCGGTCCAACTTTTGTTATGTTTGAATGTTTGACCAGGAACCGAACAGGGGCGTGTTTGGCCCATCACTACTGGTGTTCAGCAAATGTGTTTTTGTTTCGTGGTTAGAGAAGATAACCGCAACTACATGAGGTTCCTTTGGTTTCAAGATAATGACCTCAATAAAGAAGTTACAGAGTTCAGAATGAAAGTACGTCTTTAGAAATAGTCCTTCACCTTCCATAGCCATTTATGGTCTAAGACAAATAGAAACAAGAAGCCAGTGAGTATGGAGAAGATGTAAAACAGTTCAACTTAAGAAATTTCTATGTAGATGACAAACTTACATCTGTGCCCATTGAAGCTGAAGCGGTCAGTTTCCTTCAGAGAACTAGGGAGATGCATGCAGGATTTACTCTTAAGCTACACAAGGTGGTGTCCAATGACAGAGTTTAAGACTTAGAAGACCTTTTTCTAGGTGTCGATCCTCTTCCACTTTAATGGAGTTTAGGAGTAGGTTAGAATCTCCAGACCAACAGAAGGGTATCCTAGCCACAGTAAACAGTCTTTACAAGCTTGTGTTTGCTGCCCCAAACACTATGCAAGGCAAAGCCTTAGTTAGTGAGCTCTCAATAGATCAATGTGACTGGGACTCACCACTCTCGCCAGAAGGAGAAACTCAGAGGAGAACATGGACAGAAGACTTGATTTATCTTGAAGATTTCAGTATTCCCAGACCCTATAAACCAATGTCACCAACATCTACAGTGTGAAGAGATGTGTCTTTTCTGATGCTTGTACTGTAGTAATAACAGCTGTAGCCTATCTCAAGGTCATAGACAGTAACGGTCAATGTCATGTAAGCTTTCTTATGGGCAAATGTAAACTAGCTCCAAGACCAGCCCACACAGTATCAAATTTAGAGTTATGTGCAGCCATTTTGTCAGTTGAGCTAGCAGAACTGACTCTTGAAGACATGGACTTTGAGCCTGATGCAGTTAAATATTACACTGACAGCAAAATTGTGTTAGGCTATATTCACAATACCTCCAGAAGATTTTATGTGTATGTCTCAAACAAGATAATCTGCATTAAAAAATCTACTAATCCAGATCAGTGGCATTATGTTTCCACTAG